AAAAGGGTCAAGACTCACTGCTCAAATACTCCCCATGGATCATCAATTTAGATCTTCCTTCCAAGGATGTAGGTCATAATCCATCCATTCCTGCACATCCTACAAGACTTGCCCACGTCCTCTTCCAGGTTTGCCACAGGAGGTCCATAATGCTGGAGATCTTTCTGGATGTCTCCTAACAACCTGAGTTTATCAGTAGAGCTCTCAGGATATTCATCTCTCATCTCTCACCATCACCACCTGATTAGTCCATCTTCTCTTTCCATCATACATCTCCCTGGTGACATCTTTTATTCTTGTTCTTCAAGGTTCCTCACAGGTTACATGCTACAGCCTTTCCATACCCACCATGATTTATAAATTAAGGATATATACAAGTTTAAATTTAAAAATATGTATTTCTGAAAGGCTATTTGGATGCTCATAGTAACCCCACTTTTGGAACTGCAAGAAATATACTATCTGTAATATGGGGAAGAAATCATCTTTACATTCAGGTTTGGAGGTGTCAACTCAGGAAGCAGTGTCCAAGGACAGAGCATATATTATCTCTGTTTTCAGGCACCTATATGTCAGAGCATATAGAGCACTGGATTTATAGTCAGGAAGCCAAGGTCAAATTCTGGCACAGATACTAGCTGTGTGATCCTGGACCAGTCCTCTTAACAAAAGACCAACATAAGAGATGTTAAAAGGCATCAGATTTCACAGGATCATAGGTCTAGAGATAGAAGGGACCTTACAGGCCATCTTGTCCAACCCCCTCATTTTACAGATAAGGAAACTGAGGCTGGGGTTGATTCCCTAAGGCAGATGGTGTTTAAGTACCAAATGAGTGATACAGATAATGAATGCTATCAATTACAGGGAGAGATCATTGTGATTTATGTCTAAGGAAAGCAAAATGAATGAGGTTGGAACTGAGTGGGTCTTGAAGGACAGGTGAGAATTGAACTGGTAGAAAGGAAGGAGTAGATTATTACAAGTAGCTGTGCATAAGCAAACCCACAGAGGTAAGAAATAGCACAGAAAATTTGGGACTCCAAAATAGAATAATGAGTGGTAGGGTCAGAAAGGCAGGTTAGTTAGAACAGCGCTGCAGAGGGCTAGACTAAGAAGTCTGAAACTGATCTAGTATATCATGGCAAGTTATTGAAGGTCTTTAAGTGGCATGCAAAATAGCATGAAAAAAACCCTTGCTGTTGGAAGATGTATGGAAGTGATATGAGTCAGAAGATTTGGCCCTATACACTATAAATATTCCATATTGCCCAGAAAATAGATGTCTTTATGGAACCAGTGGCTTCAAAGGGAAAAGACAGGTTTGTGTATGCAGTTCTGATAAGAACAGCATTATGTAGAGAAGCAGCAGGAAAGCTGGAAAGCCTTTACTGTGTTTTACTCACAGGGGCTTCAGGTATTAATACTTGGTAGTACCTCTTGAGGCCAGTGTTTTTCTCTATCATCTTTCTACTTTTACTAATGAAGTGTGAGACATTTTTAGCTATCTTTGAGTACCTGTGTACTTTATGAGACTTATAGACATTAATCAGAAGTTTATCCTGAGTGCAGCATCAGGCCTAATAAGTTATTGCAAAGTACTTTGCAAACATTAAGCCCTACATAAACCATAATAACAATAGTACTACTACTAATAAGATTGACTGAAGACAATAATATGCTAATAAGGATCTTTGAAGGTGTTTACTATCTAGTAATTCAGGCTCTGCTGGATATAGTAACCATGCCCTTAGACCTCAGACTCTTGTCTGAGGGGCCTATCTCAACTAAATAAAAACAGCTCATGTGAATCACCTTAAAATCGCAGCTGGCACCTGAAAGCATATGAAGATCATTAAAAGATATTTACCACTGAAAATGTAACATTAGTATCTCTCAATTTTTACTCCTCTCACTCTTCTAAATTGCTCTTAGTGAGAAATCAATGAAGCTCAAATTTAAATTAATTTTATACAAAAATCACTTCATTATATATTTTAAATCCCTTTAATCCTCAAAGTTATTTACAAACTACTAATATCATAACTTTAACCAACCAAAATTTTTGGTAAATTTCATATGACAGCTAAATATTACTATGTATGTGATATGTCACCTTGTAACTTATATGAAGAACAAAAGGTATCCTAGTACAATTGAAACAGTGTTTACTCTGGAGTGAAGGGATTTGGGTTTAAATCCAGGCTCTGCTACTAACCACTTGTGTGATACTGGGCAAGTAACTGAAACTCTCTGACTTCAGTTTTCCCATCTGTAAAATGAAGAGTTTGAACTAAAATCAGAGGTGGCTCTCTTTTGGCCTGTGGGCTCTCAAAGGACAGCAAAACTCTCTGCCAGAACCAGACTGAAGTGTAATTGAGAAATGTTTAACAAAATAAGTAAAAATGCAATACAGCATTTTTGTTGTTCAATTGTGTCTGACTCTTTGTGACCCCATGAACCATAGCATGCCAACACTGTCCATGGGATTTTCTTGGCAAAGATACTGGAGTGGTTTGCTATTTCCTTCTCCAGTAGATTAAGGCAAACAGAAGTTAAGTGACTTGCCCAGTGACATAGCTAGTAAGTGTCTGAGGCCACATTTGAACTTAGGTTTTCCTCACTCTAGGCCTAGTATTCTACCTTCTGAGCCACCTAGCTGCCTAAAATACAACATAGGTTATGCAAATTCGTGGTTTTCTAAGTCGATATATAGCCCCAGTTTCTATTTGAGTTTGATTTACCACTAAATTATATGATAGCTTCTAAGGTTTCTTCCAGCTCTAAAATCTATGATCCTATGAACGAATAGCCATGATCTATGCATTTGTATAATGTAATTATATGATCAAGATTCAACTCAATAATGGGGAATTATAATGAATATTGCCAATAATTTTGATGAGAGGGGACATAAATTATTTCATCATCCACACATATGACCAGAAAGAGAAATGGGCTGGTCATGTAGAGAACTCCGAGTAAGGGAAAACAGACACTCTAAGTGCCATCTGTTCATTCATTCAGCAAGCACTTGTCTTAAGCACCTACTATGCGCCAAGCATTGGGCTACATGTTGGGAATAAAAAGACAGGAGCCAAAAAGTTTTTGTTCTTGCAGATCTTCCATACTATTGGGAGGAAACAATATGAATACAGAAGTTAATACAAAATAGAGGCAAGATTAGCTCCTAGAGGGGAGGGTGCTAGCAATTGGGGAAAACCAAAACAGGCTTTCTGTAGATAGTAGCATATAAACTGGACCCTGAAAGAAGCTAAGGATTCTAAAAGGAGGTAGTGAAGAGGAAACGCATTCCAGGCATGGACAACAGCCTGTTCAAAGGCACAGAGATGGAAGATGGAATGTAGAATACAGGAAACAGCAAGTAGACCAGTTTGGCTGGAATGTGCAGTGCATAAAAGAGAGTAATATGCAATAATCTTGGAAAGATAGGCTGGAGACACATGGTGAAGGGCTTTAAATGCCATGTTGGTAACTTAGAGAAATTAAAAGAACCAGAGGAAGACTTGACATGAACCAGGATGAGATGTAGCAGGGCTGCCATCTGCACCACTGGAAAGGATGTTCAAACAGATGAGATCACAGATCCATTTAAGTATGAATAAGCCACATTGAATGACATAGTAACGTCACACTTAATTTTAGTGTTTCAAGCCTGGAGCTGTCCCTTCCAGCCATAAATCCTATGAAATCATGATTGTTCCAATCTTTGCTTCCCTCACCCTCTCCCAATTGCTGAGACTGGAAAGACAATGACTCAGGAAAGAAGCCGGTAAAAAACAAAATTAATAAACAAGGTGCTCTCCCTGGTGCTAATAGAGACATGTAGCTCACGTAATTAATATGCATTCCAACCATTATAAAAAAAAAGATCTTCCATATAACCAGAAAACATGGTGAATAAAATCCTCTGAACCAAAAAATCAAAACACATGATCTGACCAAAGATATTTCTTTTGCAAAATCTTGTTTAGAGTACAATAATAAAAATAATTCAGATATAGTATCAAAGTTTACAAAGGGTTTTCCTCACAACAACGATCACTTAGGTAGTATAAATATTATAATCTCTGTTTTATAGATGAAAAAACTGAGGTGAGAAGTGTCTTGCCCAGGATCACAGAACTAGTGTCAAAGACCGGCTTTGGACCCAGGTCTCTTGATTTCAAGGCCAATACTCTTTCACTGTCTCTTCACATAGTTTTCTTGAAGCTGATACTATCCTAAAAAATAGGTACACACACAAGTCTCTAAACACTGAATAGCATATGTTGCAGTTTAAGGCTGCCCTTGAGGTTCTTTTAAACCTGATTTTCCATGTTCAAGGTAAGTATCAAAATGTGATGTGCTTTGGGGCTGCCCATATCTAGGAATGGCCTGCCTATGCTTGGTTCCATCACCACCACCAGCAGTTATTGTTCTAGGCCCTTCACTGCCCAAATATGGCCTTGGACCATCTTAGGCAAGGCCATGCATACAGCAAAATAAAGCACTTTGCATGGTGTAAATTCAAGACTCTCAATGACAAAGCGGGGTCTTAGTGTTGGCAACCTCTACCTGGCCTGACAGGGCCTATGCACTGCCCCCTCCCCTATCATCTGGGTTACCAAGAAAGGAAAAGTCAATCCCCACCCCACCCCCACGCCCACCTACACACACATTAGCCAGAACTACTTCGGCCTCTCCATTTCCATCTCAGCTCCATGTTTGCAGTGTCATCCCTATCGTACATGTTCTAGGTCACCCTGGTGTACACACACACACACACACACACACACACACACACACACACACACACACACATATCCATTAGTCATCTGCACACACAGTCACAGGGAGAAAGAGGAGAAACTTGGCCCTCGGACCCTGCCAGCCAGCCAGCGCTGGGGGCTGCTCGGGCCTGCCCTCCCTCCCAACTCTCCAGGAGCCTGCCCCCTGGCGCACGTGCTGGGTGACAGGCCCCCCTATAGGTTCCATACCTGCCACCGGAAGTGAGTGAGGAGGGCAGTATAGGCATTTCCTGTGACGCGGGCGCCTGGACTCCATTAGGCAGCAGCTGGGGGAAGAATCAACACACCAGGGAGCGGAGCGGGCCCGAAGACAGAGGCGGCAGCTGCCTCCGCTGCCGCCGCCGCCGCCGCCGCCGCCGCCGGGCTCAGCACAGCGGCTGGCTCCCCCCTCCCTAGCAGCGGCCGCCGCCGCCCCAGCGGCGCCCCCCCCTACGGGAGCGACCCCCGGGCCGGGCACCCTAGCTGCCTCCGGGAGGGGGGGGACAGGGTCCAGATACTCCTCCTCTTCCTCACCCCCCCTTGTCCCTACCCCCCCTCCCCGCTTCCCTGTCCCCTCTTCCCTCCCCCCCTCACCCAGACCCTCTCCCCGTCCCCCTCCTCCCCTCCTCCGCCTCGCCCCACCGGCTTCCCACCACGGCCTCTCTCGGCGAGGAAACTCTGGCCTCCGCTTCCTCCTCCTCCGACTCGGACACCGGCGGAGCCTCCCCGCCCCCGCGGAAGAAACCCCGAGCCTCGGCGGCGGAGGGAGCAGGAGAGCCCGGGGCTTCGACTGGCAGAGCAGGCCTCTCCCCCCCGTCGTCGTCGTCGTCGTCGTCGTCCTCGTCCTCCTCCACCTCCTCCTCCTCTTCTTCCTCCTCCTCCTCCTCCTCCTCCGTGGTGGTAGTGGTGGGACTCCCCGCGGGTGCTGCCCCTCCTGCCGCCGCTGCCGCCCCCCACCGTAGTAGCGGCCACAGCCTGGTCAGCGGCAGCATCATGCAGGCCAACGGGGCAGGAGGAGGAGGAGGAGGAGGCGGCGGCGGAGGAGGTGGCGGTGGCAGCGGCGGCGGCGGTGGGGGCCAGGGACAGACCCAGGAACTCGCCTGCCTCTCGGCCCAGAACGGGGAGTCGTCCCCCTCGTCGACTTCGTCCGGGGGGGATCTGGCCCACGCCAATGGGCTCCTGCCCTCTGCCCCCTCCGCCGCCAGCAACAATAGCAACAGCCTGAATGTCAATAACGGGGTCCCCGGCGGGGCGGCCTCCGCCTCGTCCGCTGTCGCCGCGGCCACCTCGGCCACCACGGCTGCGTCTTCCTCGGCTGTGGCCGTCTCGGAGCTGGGCAGTAGCCTGAAAAAGAAGAAGAGACTCTCCCAGTCAGATGAGGATGTGATTAGGTTAATAGGACAGCACTTGCATGGCTTAGGGCTCAAGTAAGTATTCCTTGAAGAGAGCTGGTGATGCAGGGGCGGGGGGTGTGGGGCGCAGGGGAAGTCTGGAGAGAAGAGACCGAGAAGGGGTGAGACTGACGGACAGCCCCGCGATGGAGTTCTGCCTAGGGAGACCCCTGGTGAGACAGACAGACTCCGGGAGGAGGAGACAATCAGACGGAGAGACTGAAAGACTGGCAAATTACGACTCGCAGAGCCAGGCCTTGAATTCCCCCCACCTCCACCACAAACTACCCCCATTGGAACTTAATTATCCGTCGGTAAAGACAGATGTATAAAAATGCTGGGGGAGGGGGAGGAGTGGACCAGATCTGGTGGAAATAATGAATCTTGGAGGACTTGGCCTTCGGAGTATATTTTAGACATCTGTGTTGTGAACACAGGGAGAAGCTTCTCCCATAGACAAGACCAGAGCATGGTTACCAACAGAGAAGCTGGACACCCACAAGTGTTTGGGTTATTGAGGGGACGGGAATGGGGGGGGTTAGGAGGGTGTACAGCTGGTGGTTATGGTCAATTGGAAAGAAGAGTTGCTGAGGAAATCAAACAGGAATAATGGCGCAGAGGAGACATGTTTGTGTCATTTGTGAAGCTTTGTGTGTTAAGGACACAGGCCACAAACTACTGTCAAATCCTGATTATTATCAGTAAGATAGATAAGTGTTTGGGAAGGGATATCTGATCTGACCACTTGTTTTCTAGTCTAGGTGGCTTGATGCACCCCAGAGAGAGGGTGAAGGGGTCTAACCTTGGCCACAAACTGCTATCAGTTTGTTTACACATCAATAAAGGAAAAACCCAGGGAGTGGGGGAAGGGATCTTCTAGAGACTGAAAGCTATTGAGAATGGTGGAGGAGGTGGAAGGGGCAGGACCTAAAGGAGACACACACACACACAAAACCTCCTCCAGCAGTCAAAGTTTCCTGGCTGCGAAGCGTAGATTAAAATAAGCCTTTGGGCTTGCCGCTGTGTAGTTTTTGATTTATAGATTTGTTTGAGGAAGAAATTAGAACTTTTAAAAAGTGACATAAGTGCATCAACACAAGCCATACTTAGAGGTCTGCTGTATTTTGCTTAAAGATTAATAGAAGTGGGAAAAAACCCACTAAAACAAGAAAATGTTAAGCTGGTAAATTAGGACCTTTGAAATAACAAAACAGACTGAAGGAACAAGCCATATGTGAGAAGCCAAACAGCCATGCTTATCTCCTCTTTCCCAGTTCCCAAAAGGAACTGTTTGCCGTAAGAGAAGATTTCACAGACTATGATAAAGGTGGATTTGGTATTAAATGAGCTTAGTAAATGTAATGTATTACTGAAATCAGGCAAGCTGACAGCAGAGGGAGAAAATAACTCGTGACTGTTTGGAGCCTACAGCATAGTAAATTTGCTATTTTTAGTTAGAAAGGTGGGGGGTGATTTTGTTTTTAAATTTTTTTTAATAAATTGACCTCTTAAAGTGTTGATGCAGACACAAAGCTTGAATGTATTTGGGAGAATTTTAATACTAGGCATTACTGAGAGCAACTTAGGTAGTATTAATTTTATTTAAAATAGTGATAATATAGCTAGGTGGTTTCCTACTTTTCCCGATGGCCACTTGATTGCAACAAATGTTATATTTTAAAACTTTGATTTTCTCAAAGTATTCATATTTTAAGTGGCAAAACTGAGGGAAATAAACTTATTTTGAAACTGTGTACAAGTTTTTTAACCTTTTGCCCCAATGTGGATGTAGGAGATTGCTCCAGTGTGTGTAGCTCAACAAACTTGGGCTTGTAAGGATTTTTTTTATGTCACTTTATAATTAAAAAAAAATAAAATTAGTTCTTTTGGGGAAAAAATTCACACTGTTGCATAGGTATTGGTGTATTTGGAAAAGTAAAACCCTGAAGTTGGTCAGGTCTTTTTACACTGTATCTCTCCTGCAGCCAGACAGTTGATCTCCTCATGCAAGAGTCAGGATGTCGTTTAGAACATCCTTCTGCTACCAAATTCCGAAATCATGTCATGGAAGGAGACTGGGATAAGGTAAAGTAGGGCATATGGAACTGTATAACTGCTGTTAAAGTTATACATCTGATGTGCATATCATAACACTTTTGTTTTTCTCTCTTTTATATCAATTTTTGCAGGCGGAAAACGACCTGAATGAACTTAAGTCTTTAGTGCATTCTCCTCATGCTATTGTGGTAAGAGGCGCACTTGAAATCTCTCAAACGTTGTTGGGAATAATTGTGGTAAATACACTTTTGTTCTTAGTTCTGCATTTATGCTAATTTTAGTAAGCAGAATGGTCTCAATAATAACTTAGGGCATCTGCCACCTCTATAACATAACTTATGTAATTTTTGTCTTTGTATCTAGAGCGCCTAGAACAGTGCCTGACACAGGCACTTAAGTGTCCATTAGATCATCAAGTACAGCCCCCTCATTTTGCAGATGCCTAGAAAGATTGATTTGCCTGGAACTATATTGTGTGTATTAAAGTTATAGGATAGTCAGTCTTCATTGTGCTGTAAAATTTGAGCTTTTTTAAAAAAATGCTTACCTAGAAAATATCTTTGAATTAATCTTTTTGCCCTACACATAAAAATTATGCCAAAGTTGTCAAATTTTCAGCATTTATGCTAAGAAATTTTAAATCATTTTCATTTGTTTTAGATATTCAAAGTCTAAGGAAGATATGCAAATTTTTATTTTAATATTTAAAGGCTTAATATTGAATATATTTTTAGAGTGAAGGAGAAAGAAGGATATTACATGTGTATGTGGTTTCTTTGGGGAAAGAAAGGCAGAGATAGGATAAATTAGATAAAGAAGTTTTGTCTTTTTTTTTTTAAGCTTTTTGTTTTAAAGAAAAGTCATGTGTGTTAATTCAAACCAACCACTGGGTTATGATCATCCAGTTCCATTCAAGTACTCCAGTTGTGTGAATTTACAGTGTAAGAGTTTGAAATTTGTATGAGAGTCATCTGGTGATTTTTATGCAGATATGAATATTAATGCTCTGTTCACTGGTCCTTTCTGACATAAGATCAAATTGGGAGTTGGACCATTTTCAGAAATCGTCATGTATTTTAATATCTATTATAATTATCAGGCATTAATTCTTAAATAGGTGTTTGAGGAAGGGGAAAAATATGTTTTTTGAAGAGCCTGTGATTTTAAACAAAGAAGAATCAGCTGATGGCTCTTTGCTTTAGACTTCTGGCTGATTCATTTGTTGTCAAAAAGCAGTTTCCTGTGCAGTGAGGGAGGGGATGGAAAAACAACAGGAAGTAAGGAAGACAGCTGTTTGTTAAACATTTGTAAGTGAGGATTATATTACTTTTATTTAAATTGGGTCAATTTTATAACTTCTTTGGCCTGTTAACCTCTAGATTTGTTGGGTTTTGAATTTAAGTAAATATTATATGAGAGGAGCTGTGCTAGAAAATGGTTCTGAAATTAGTAGTTTAAAGGTATTTATAAAAAAAATTTCCTATTTGTGAATTTTTTGAATGTGAAGAGACTATCATTTAAGAAAATGTAAGGTTTTAGATCTTAAAATCTTAAAACAAATTATGATTGCTTCCAAAATTTGATATTTGGGCCTACAAAGTCACTAAGTAAACATATTTAATAATAACAATTCGCAAATTGAATTAAGTCAAAAGCTAAGCCTATTAAGGCAACTTGTTGACAGAAAAAGAGGACTTGATTCTTTGATGTTCAGTAAGTAGAATTATGGATTGTTAGTCTAGAACATATATATATAAAATCAGTTACTTAATCGTACAATGGAAAGATAAAAATGTTAATATGATTTCTGTCATATTTATAATGATATTTTGGAATTCAGCTTGATATTTCAAGTCTTTTAAAATGGAAATTGTGGATTGTGAGAGCAGTTTTGTGACTTTTAGCCTAACTTAAGCAAAAAGTGATTATGAGCTTTAAGTGTAGATTTTTTTAAAAAAAAATTATTCCTGACAACCTTATATATCCAATTACTGTTTCATCTCAAAATATTTTTAGTCACAACATTTGGTTTTTATTCTTTCATACGTGATTGAATAGCATTTTAGTTTGGCTTCAGATATGTGTAGGCTTGTTTGAGAATTTTGTGTGAGCAGATTTGAAGGTAGTTAACTAAGAGGACTTTTATCAAATTAAAAAGTTTAGCTCTTAAATTTGAACGTTAAATAGTGTATTATGGACCATGCTTTACACATAGATACTTAACATTTGTCTTGAATTCTATATAAAAATTCTGCAGCAGTTCAGCTTCACTGTTAAGTTATATAGAAGAGACTGCTTCAGAACATGAGGCATTCTAGTTAATGTGTTCAGTGTGATGTGGAAAGAAAGCATCTGCTTATTTATCCTAGCTTTGCCTGTTACTTGGTATCTTGTACTGCCTCCCCCAACCCCAAATAATTCAGTTCTATATCTCATCTTTAATAAAATATGCCCACAAGAAACTAATCAGACAGATTAAATCCATTTTACTGTCTCCAGTGTTGTGTGTCAGATGTAGCTACAGCATTAGAACTACACGAAAATCAAGTATACCAGAGAATTTAAGCTTTTTTAGTGTAACTGTAGGCATTAATAAATTTTTCACTGAGTACTTAAGTTCTGCTTTTGAAATCTCTGCTTTGTGAGTCGTTACTGCCACAATCAACTTTTAAAGTTTTTCTTTTTCTTTACATCCCTTTAACATTCCATTAAGATATCACCACTGAAATGACTACTTGTCACTTCATTATATTGGTGGTTGTCTTACTTGTTGGGGATTGTATACTATTTAAATTTTTTAGTAAGTTACAATAAAAATATACTGTAATATGTTGAGGAAATCATCTAAATAATATTGAATGCACAAAAGTAATGCAAATAATTTTCTTCTACAAAATTTAAAGTGTTACATTTAAAATTTTTCTTTTAAAAATACGTGTCATTCAAACAGCTTGAAGATGTGTTTTGTAATACTAGATTTTCTACTGGTTTGATTAATCAGATATCAGTAGACCAAAGGTAGAGTTTGCTGGATTGAAGTGGTATATATACTACATTCTTCCTTTAACAAATAGCATCAGAAGTGGGATCTGATCAGAAATTGGAAAGATAAGTAAAAGGAATAGAGCTATATTACCCTAGCACTTAAAAAATTGAGACTTTTGAAATAGCCTGCCATGGATAAGGCATTTACCCACTTAGTGAGCTTCAATTTGACCTATTCAGAATCCACTAGTCAACATTATTTTAAAAGCCATCTGGGGAAGAGTTTAGGATAGGGACTGAACCTTTGGCTTCATTGGCATAGGAAACTCCATCTACTAATGCACAGAGGAACCTTCTCTGCAACTCAGAATCTTAGACATTTGCGTAGCGCTTTGGGACATAAAGTGACTTGTCAGAGATAGGACTTGGCCCCAGGGGGTCCTGGTTTCAAGGCCTGCTCAGTATCTACTATGTCATCAAATGGAATACTACATACATCATTGGGCTTAAGTTTTACTCTTGAGCCATTTTAGATGTGTGCTTACAATGTGCCAGTGGTATAATTCTTAAGATTATAGTATTAGTTCTTTATATTCTCCCTTTTTCAACTGCCCAACTCTATATAAATGTTTCTGTTTTATATTTTTTAGAAATTATATTTTTGATTCAATTAATTAAACAAGTTTTACAAGGAAAGCATGTTTGTAAACTGATGTCTTGCTTTGTTTGGCCAATAGCACATTACCAGAGTTTCTGTGTCCAATATCATGCTTTAGTATCTGTTTCAGGATTCTCTTTACACTAACTGTGGACAAAGTGACTCGTAGAGACAGAGCTTCTTGACCTGCTTTTGTATCTTCCCCACATTATCTATAGAAAAATGTTGACATAGCCTCACTTGAAGTTTTACTCACTTTTTTCTTGCCCTACTTTTGTCACATGAAAATTGAGTTGCAATTATATCGGCATCTCTGTGGAGAAAAAAAAGGGGGGAAATGTCTAATGTTTGGGGTTAGATTAAAACTGTCACTTCACAGATTTGTGAGGGAGAAACCCTGATATGAATACTAGAAAAATGGAATATGCCCATAATGACTCAAAGAAAACAAAAGTGTTTACCAGAAATGCTTATGAGCCGAGGAAGCTAAATGAAGAAATTAACACAATGTTGGCAAGTTAGACATGAAATTGGAATGAAAACTCTGAAAACAAGTGTGTCTTCAACAGTGGGTGTTCTTCAGATAGTAAAAGGAGTTTGTCATACCAACTGAACTTTTAACAATGTATTGATAAATAGAATTACAAATTATTTTCTCCATTGAGTTATGAGAATCAAATAAGATATCATAAGTGCTTCGCAAACATTAAAAGTGCTTACATATAAATGATAGCTATTTTAAAAATAAAGCTTTGTTCAGAAGACAAAAGCCGTAAAAAAAAACCTCCCTTTTATGTTAAAGCTTTCAGTTTTATATGCCATTTTTGCCTGTGAAAAGCAATCTATTAATAGTTCAGCAGTACTAAAGTTGTTAAACATATAAAGCTTAACTTCAGATTATGTGTACAACAGTGTACTTTAGTAATTTAGTCTATGCCTTTAAAGCATATTCAATAAGCCAGCCTAGCTTTTGTTTATATACTGAATAGAATTTGGTAAGTGTAATAGTTCTAGAGTTACAAAAATTTTCATGTGGTTGTCATTTTTTGATTTTTTTTCAAGTACTTACCATAATTAAACTATGTATATTTATCACACTATTTTGATAGCACTATAGTTTTATATTTTTAGTAATAAGCATTTACCAAAAGAGAAAATAGCTATCATGTTCTTAAAGATTTTTATGCTGTTAATATTTTCAAGTGGATTTGAGTTCATTGGAGTCACTAAATGTCAGTAACATTTTCTGCCTACTTTCAAAAAGTAGCATTACATAATTAAAGGTTTCATTCAATTGATAGTCCTTAAAGTTGGATTTAGGGTTTAAAATACCAAATTTTACTGTGTTAGAAGAAGTGTTTTCGTGCCTTCTCAGTTTTGCCGGAAAAGTTTGGGGGGATTTTACTAGTAGCTAATAAACTAAAAGTGAAACTTATGTTAAAGTAAACAATATAGAGAAAAATTCAAAGCCTAAATACAAATTTGTGACAATATGACTTCATAGTATAAATAGTTTATCCTTCTTTAAAAAAAAAAACACCTTGAGTTTTTGTTGGGTTTTTTTTGTTTGTTTTGTTGTTTTGTTTTGTTTGCTTTCCTCCAAAATATTTTCAGTGTTAAAGGGAACAGCAGTCAAGATTCCAATCTTTATTACAAGGGACCTTAAGGTTTATCGTTTCTGCTCAGTTCAGAAACCCTTCGACAACAGCTGAAAGAAGGTCATACATCCACTATTTGAACACTTTGACTAACAAGAAGCTCTCACTTCAGCATCTGTTCTAGGGCTGTAATTCTTAGGAAATGGTTCCTTAGGTTAAGCCAAAAGTCTCACTTTTTTCTATTAGTCCTAGTTCTCTCCTGGAACCACAAATGTACACCTTCTTTCTTACAGCCCTTCAAATGATTGAAGATAGCTACCATGTTTTTCTTTAGTCTTCTCTAATATAAAAAAAAATCCATTTCCAAATATTAGTGTAATTAGAGAAACTCCTAAACGTAAAAAATTAATTTTTTTTCTTTAGAAGTAAACAGCCTGAAATAAGATACACGTTTGATTTGGGGAACAGAAGGTGGTTACGGAGCTTAAAAATCAGTCTTAATTTTAATGGAAGTTCTAAGGTCATTTATTCCAAATTATTGCCTCTACAACATCCGAAAGTCATCCAGGTCCTCCTTTATGATTTACAGTGAGGGGGAAAAAAAAGATTTACGGTGATGGGAAACTTAGTACTTCCTGAGGCAATCTAGTATAGTTGTAATTTTTAGGAAGTTTTATTTTCTTATGTGTAGCTGAAATCTTTTTGAGTCTTGGAAGTAACATTTCAAAGTTGTTTTATTGAAGTGTGGGATTGAACAAAATGTCCATTAGCCTTGACCTGAAAAGACATCTATTTTCTAGGTTTCATAAGTAGGTAAGCTGCTTCAACAAAGGATAGAAGTAACTGGAAGATTTTAATTAACCAAGACCTTTTTTAAAAAATCATGAAGCTTTTATGTAAAGTTTTATTTTCAAAGGGCATAGTAGAATGGTTTCTACTGTTCTGTTTAGGCACAAACATTGTCTGAAACTTCCATCAACCCTTTTCCCTGACTGCTGCTTTCTGTCATGTCAGAGGATGAAGTTTTTGCTGCTGCAGCAGAAGTACCTGGAATACCTGGAGGATGGCAAGGTCCTGGAGGCTCTTCAAGTTCTACGCTGTGAATTGACGCCCTTGAAATACAATACAGAGCGAATTCATGTCCTCAGTGGGTAAGAATGTTTAGTTCATGAGCTCTGTTTTGGGGGAGTCTTACTATACAAGATTACAGTTACATACTTTCTCTGAGTGGTTGGAGTATTTGGAAATTCTAAGATAATTTTACAGAATTTTCTCCCTGTGATGGGGAGATATTTCTTGTCTTCACCTTTGTGTAGACCATTGCCCTTATCTGAGGAAGCATTTCATGTTAGGATAAAGTTTTGTTAAAAGGGTGAGAGAAGGTTGCCTACAGAAAATCATTTCATATTCTTTTATAAATCCTGTGGTATGGCTTAATTTGGCCAGTTCTCATTTTTTATCATTAGAATACACAACAGCAAACTTGCCAAAGTTCATAGAAATACAAAGTTTCCCATCTTAGAGCAAAGCAAATTCTGCTGGACATGTTAATGCTCTGGTTAGTTCCCCTAAGTCAGAAAACCTCTACAAGATGTCATTTTTACAACTCAGCATTCATGAATTCTAAAAAATTCTGTATTGCAAGTTTTCTAATTTAATTGTTGCTTACAGTTGTTTAGAACTAAAGGAATTTTAGAGATCAAGTCTAATTTAATTTTTTTACATTTTGAGAAAACTGAAGCTTAATGAGATTAAATAACCTGGTAAAGGTTATTTATAGGTAGCAAGTCTCAAATTAGAACCCAGCTTTACTGACTCTGGTCATCTTTCATTTTTATTTATTTGTTTGTTTGTTTGTTTGTTTTTATTTATTTATTTTGGTGAAGTAATCGGGGTTAAGTGACTTGCCCAGGGTCACACAGCTAGTAAGTGTTAAGTGTCTCGGGCTGGATTTGAACTTAGGTCTTCCTAACTTCAAGGCCTTGGAGCTTTATCCACTGCACCACCCAGCTGCCCCTAGAGCTTTAATTTATTTTTTTTTCCCTAGCCATCATTCATATAATATTTCCCAGTAAATAGACATTGACTTGAATACTGAGATGTTCAAGTTCAGTCATTTTTCACTTATGTCTTGACCGTTCATGACCCCTTTTGGGAGTGGTTGGTCATTTCCTTCTCCAGCTCATTTTACAGTTGAAGGACTGAGGCAGACAGGATTAAGTAATTTGTCCAGGGTCACACAGCTAGTAAGTGTCTAAGGCCAATTTGAATTTGAGTCCTCCTGATTCTAGGGCCAGCACTCTTATCACACTCTGCCACCTAGCTGCCCCAGTGAATACTGAAAACTGAATGTCTATTTACCGAATGTAACAGACTTAGAACTTTTGAAATAAGAAAATTGTGAACCAATTTTCTCAAAAAGTATTGATAAGTAAATCATTTAAAATCAAATAGCAACCATAAAACCACATTTTGTAATTTGCTTCCTTCTATTTTTTAAAAAATAAACTCAGTTATTTAGTTCCTTTTTTCTAGTTGTTTGAGTCTATCTATTGAGATACTACTTGGAAAATGTGCTATTAAGTGGTCATAGCACTGACAGTATCTTGACCTGTATCTTACTAATAAGGAATGCCTAAATATTCAAACTCATAAGTGAAAGATAAGCCTTTTTTAAAATTGAAGTACTTTACAAACATGAACTTATTGTAACTTACAAGAAAAGTGGCTGGTATTTTTTTAACTAGAAAAAAATTTTTTTAATTCTGAACTTGGCAAAAACCAAATAAAATAAGCATTTCCATATATATTGTAGAACAGTAGAGTGTTGTATATGAAACTTGGAACTTCTATTATGTAATAGAACTTGCTTTTTAAAAATATATAATAAATTCAACATAGAACTTTTAAATCTGTCATTTTTGTCTGTGATTTCTTCTGGCCTGCTTTCTGAAGGGAGGAAGACCCACCTCTACCTTCACTCACATTTAAAAAAGAAAAGAAAAACTCCTCTTGTGTGTGTGTGTGTGTGTGTGTGTGTGTGTGTGTGTGTGTGTGTGTGTAGTTAAGCATAACAGATTGCCATGTTGGCTCTGTCTAAAAATGCATGTCTCATTTTATATTTTGCTTTCTCACCTCTTTGTCAGCAGGTGGGTAATAATCTTTGTCATTGGTGCTCTGGAGTAGTAGTTTGTTATTACATTGATATTAGATCTTAAGTCTTTCAGTTTCTCTTTATATTGCTATTTTATCAGTTGTTCTAGTTCTGCTTACCTCATTCTACATCTGTTCATGTTTCTTCCTAGGATTCTCTGGAACCATTTCCTTGTCATCATTTCTTGTGGAATATAATATTCCATTGCATTCATACTATTTTTCTTCATTATTACATTAGTAGAATGCCATTCCTTGAAAGCAGAGACTTTTTCACTTTCTGAGCATTCCTTGCGCCAAGCAGTGCCTTGATTAAAGCAAATACTTAATAATTTCTTATTGGACTAAATGATTTTATCTAAGCAGGACAACTTAGTTGTACTGATATAAGTTAGACCTCACACTGTTGTTACCCAGTAATTTGTTTATATTTATCACTTCTAACTGTAGTAATTTAGATCTGGAAGATGTTGTTGTAGGTGAATTTTCATTTAATAAGCATTTCTGGAAATCAAAGGATTTTTAAATTTAGTTTTAGACTTTAAATCTTCCCTTTAATTCTTACCCATTTATTATCATGGGAGCTGCTTATTGTTCTCGATCTACTGCCTTCAAACAAGTCCAGCTCTCCCCCTTCCTTTATCAGCCTTTATGTCTCCTTTTCTCAGCCTAACTTTTGAGAAAGTTGTCTTCTCTCACTGCCTCCATTTACTTTCCTCTTTTCTAGCTTTTATCCTCATTACTAAACTGAAAATCTCCTCTCCGAAGTTACCAGTGATCTCATAATTGCCAGATATGATGGTCTTTTTCTCATTCCTTATTCTTCTGACCTGTCCACTGCATTTGAGACTATTGACCACCCTCTTCTGCATACTCTCTCTTGTGACACTACTCTCACCAGGTTCTTCTACCTCTTTAGCCTCTCTGTTTCCTTTACTGGCTCTTCATCTGTTAGATGCTACACACCCTCTTCACCCCCATCCCCACTAACACTTGCTGTTGGTCTCTGTGTGTGTGTGTGTGTGTGTGTGTACATACTCTTAGTAATCTCATCAACTCCCATGGAGGTTAACTGTCATCTTTATGTAGGTGGCATCTGTATTTACATATCTAGTGCAACATTCTCTCTGTTGAGTTTGATCAATCCTGGATCACTAGTATTGCCTATTAGACAATTCATACTGAATTTCCTGATGATATCTTAAATTCAGCATGTCTAAAATTGAGCTCACTGCCATCCCCCTAAATCCTCCCTTTTCCAAGCCTTCCTATTTTTATCAAAGACACTATCATTCGTCCAGTGTCTTTAACCAACTTCAGTCTTTTATCCCACGTATCCAATTAGTTGTCAGATGTTACTGTTTCTACCTTTACATCTCTTATATTCAACCCCTTCACACAGCTACCACCACAGAGCCCCTCCCTCATCTCCTGCATAGATGATTATATTGGTCTTCGCATTGGTCTCTTTGCCTCAAGTCTTTCACCACTCCATCCAATATATTGTTACCAAAATAATTTTTCTTTAACATAGATTTGACCAACTCCATTGGCTTCCCATTGCATCTAGAATGAAACATAAAACCTTTGTTTAGGGGGCTGCTAGGTGGTACAGGGGATAGAGCACCGGCCCTGAAGTCAGGAGGACCTGAGTTCAAATCTGGCCTCAGACCAAACACTTAACACTTACTAGCTATGTGACCCTGGGCAAGTCAATTAACCCCAATTGCCTTTTAACAAAAAAAAAACCCTTTGTTTAGCCCTGAAAGTTCTTTAAACCCTGACCCTAACCCTTCTTTCCAGCCTCATTGGACATTATTCTCCCTCTTGCCTGTAATTGAGCCAAAGTGACCCTCCCTTTGTTCTTCAATCACAATACTCTGTATCCTGTCTCCATACCTTTGACCTAGCTGTCCTCCAAGCCTAGAATCCACTTTCTTTACCTCTACTTCATAGAATATTTGTTTTCCTTTAAGATGCAAGTCAAGCATCATATCCTACCTGAAACCTTTCGTGATCTCCCCAACTGGTAGTGTCATCTCTCCTAAACCAGCTTGAAGAATTTAACTACTCATATATTTGTATTTATTTCATTTTTATGTATGCATACACGTTTTATATTTACTTATTTCTCCCATTAAACTATGACCTCATTATGGGATTATTTCTCTCTGTGCTTGTACCCCCATCCCCAGACTATCACAGTGCGTGACATGTAGTAGGCACTTAATAAATTGTAAGCAGTGTCCCTGTACTAGCAGAATGCCTCATATGCCCTAATGTTTTATAGATGTTCTTTCTATTTAACTTCCATCACTTGAAAGTCATTTCTACAATATAGAACACCAAGAACCAGGTCAGGGGCACACTTACAACCAAAAGGCCTTGATTTGTTTCCCTAGAGTTTTACTATGTGTCCATCAGTTTATCTAGTGAGTAATGAAGCAGTCCCTGAGCTTTGGTCCTGGAAGCCTTGAGTTGAGCCCCTGGAACCCTTTAGCTGTGTGAAGGGTTCAGACAAAGCTCGTAATTAAGATAGAAAACAAACCTGTGAATTAGGTGTGGTACAAGTTTTTATCCCCATTTTACAGGTTAGAAAACATGATGCTCTGAGAGGTTGTGACTTGCAGAATCTTCGTTACCTAAGTCTAAGCTAATGTCTTTTTCATTATACTGCATTACCTAGTCTTTGCTTAAAGGTTGAATACTTTGTAATACCCTCTTGGAGAGATTTTCTGGTTTTGTGTTTTAAACACATGTGTTTTAATGGTTGAAAATTATATGCCAAGATGCCAAGGTCATATGTTAATGAATTGTGGTGTAGCTAGTCATTTTCTCCTCTTTCTGTTTCTGAAATAAAGTTGGTTGCATAGGTGCTATATTTTTATTATTTTAATCCCAAAAAGGAAATTGGTGTTAGCTACTTCTGCTGTCTCATTTATAGGTATCTGATGTGTAGCCATGCAGAAGACTTACGTGCAAAAGCAGAATGGGAAGGCAAAGGAACAGCTTCTCGATCTAAACTTTTGGATAAACTCCAGAGTAAGATTTTTTTTGGTATCTGGTAGCAACATTTATTTCCTCAAAACTGATGTGGACTCTTTAGTAAGGTTTTTGATTGGTAAAATTTAAAATGGCTTACCACTGAGAGGATAAGGTAGGGCTTGCTCAATAGGTAGACTCCTTAGGCCACATCAGTTTAACACACTTATTCCTAAGCTACAAAGATAAAATAGCAAAGTTACATCTCCCTCCCTACCTTTAGGCAAATGCTTATTTTGGGGGGGAGGTATTAAAAAAAAAAAGTAAAATCATTACTCGGAATAAATGGGCCCAATAGGATGCTTCATTCTTACGAATTTAACTTTTTTGTAAAAAGCTTTTTTCTTGCCTTTTCCAGACAAATCAAGGGTTCCCACAGCCTTTTTTCGTGAATTTGGGAGGTCTAGGTACCAAAATGTTTCATGAAGTCCAAGAGAACAGCAGAGTTGGGAAGGGGTAGGAATAGAATTAGCAGCAGTATCAGAGGTTGTGGGGCAGTGATATTTTGTGTTAGGATAGGTTTTATACACAGTGTCTGAGATAGTTGTAGTTTGGTGGGACCTGGAATTTCATCCTTTTGAGTCAGTCCTTGCTGGGTATCTCAGTGGAGATGTTTCCCAAACTTTTGAGAATAGCTATTATCCCTTATTTATTATTTATTTATTGGCTAATATTTTTTCTTAAATAAGAAAACCTAAAGGAATTGTGAACTTTCTTTCCAAATGAATTCTAGTGTCTTACAATTGTAGATAGCATTTGATAGGTAGTCATGAAAACAAAATATTTATAGACAAAAGTTCTGGGTGGCTTGACATAAATACCATAATGTTGAAAATTATTAACTGAGGATGAAAAGCCAGAGGATATTGAGGAAGTCTCTTTAAAAAAAAAAAAAGACCCAAAAAAAGGTATTCCCTGATCCCTCCTGTAGTTGCTAATGGCTCTCCCCTTATATTGCTTTATTTTGTATTATATAGAGGCCAAATTATTTACATTGTCTCCCCCATTAGAACATAAGCCCCTTGAAAAAAAAGGGGTTTCCAACTGTCTTCCCAACTCTTAGCTCTTAAATGCTTGTTGACTAACTGACTGACTGAAAATAAACTCTTGTTTCTTTTATTAAGCCTATTTGCCACCATCAGTGATGCTTCCCCCAAGGCGTTTACAGACTTTGCTACGTCAAGCTGTGGAGCTGCAGAGGGATCGGTGCCTATATCACAATACCAAACTTGATAATAATCTAGATTCTGTGTCGCTGCTTATAGATCATGTTTGTAGTAGGTAAGAGGAAAACCATTTCTAATACTCCAAGATTTGATTTATAATCTTTTTTATAAGTGATCCCATTTTCTTTTTTAATACTGTTAGAAACATGTGAACTGGAGTTCCTTAAAGCTAGAAATTCTTAACTGAATTACTGTTTATTCTAATGTGCAAAAAAATTAGAATGACTATTTTAAAATGTTCTCTGTGTCCCTCACCCCCACCCCCCAGGTTTGAATGTTAGTTTGATTATTAATTGTCCACAGTTAACTATAAAGTCACAATCCCAGAGTAGTAATTAGCATTATGTTGCTTCCTGTATCATTTTGAGGAATATTTTGCTATCAGCTATGTGTGCACATAATTTAACTTAAGAGAAGGTAAAAATTGTCCTTCAGTCTGGGATTCTTTTAATTATTAGTGAAGCAGGAGCATATTTCATGACCTCTAAAGTGTCATTAGAGTAGTTGAGATACTGAAAAACAAATTGTGAAATCTTTTAAACCCCAGGAAGGAAATAATTTGGATGAAGGGGAACAGCTGCAGTACACATAGTCCATTTCTTTTGCCAAAGATGATCAGAGATATGATGAAAGTAGCTTAAACAGGAAGGACAAAAGTAATAAGGTTAAGTGTGAGGGCCACAGACTTTTTGTAATTGAGGAACCTACATAAGCTACTGAAATAATGATGCAGACAAGCACTGTGATTTAAAAGAAACACAATTTTTACTTATTTTGTAATAAACATGTCTACATGGGTACCTAGCTTTAGATTTTTTTTTAATCTAAGCATTTTATCATTTCACAGGAAAAAAGTCATTGAGCATTCTAGAGAGATGTGACTAGAGTTTTTCAACTTCCCCCCACCCCACCCCCAGTCCCAGTGTAATTGTTTGAGCTTAATTTGGGGGCAGTTTTTAATCATGCTATTTATTTGGCAATACATACTCTTTCTTGAGTTTTTTAAAATTATGAGGATTCATGACTATTTCACATAGGGCGTTGGGTAAAGCCTGTATAGTTTTAGGCCTTGACACCTTTGGGAAGTTTGAGAATAATACAGATTATAACTAGAGCAGCTATAATGCCAAAAATCTTAATTTGACTACTGGTTCCTAAATTTATTGTTGGAACATATGAGATGATAATGTATTGGAGATTAGGTAAATCCAGAAGTGCTGGTATAATGTTGATAGTATACTTAGACAAGTATGAGCAAACAATTCTGTATCTATCCCTGTTTTACAAGGTAAATCTGCATAAAATTGACCTATATTTTCCTGAATTTTTTAGCTGCTTTTCTAGGTACCTATGAAAAGCTAGAATTTCATAAGCCTATAGGGAAGTCCTTTGAAGGTTTACATAGGAAAAGTGTAATATGGTTCCTGCCTCACAGAAATGGCTAACAGAAGAGGAGAGTCTTTTCTATGAAGCTATGAAAATTCATTATTAAAACCTGTAGAGGTAAAAGGGGAGGATTGGGCTTCTCAAGTTGGTAATTCTTACCATTTTACCTGCTGTGCCACCCACCTACCCCAAGAGTCAAAACACTTCAAACTCAAGGTTTATATTCTTTTCAGATCAACCCACTCTGTCTTAATATTGTTGAGTTGAAAGCTGTAATTCTGAAATTTTATGCCTTTTAAATTTGATACATTGAAGTAATCTTGATTCTGTTGTTTTTAAGAGAATGTCATGCCTATAATGTCAGGGTTATTTCTATGATCATAACAACTTGTATTTTTCTTTTGAATTGTGCCCTAATACTTATTGGACTGTCAGCTATATCAGAGTACTACTACACAGAATTAAGTATGATTATGTCATACTGGTCAGTAAAGGCCTTGGATTGAGCCCATCAGACTAAATCACTTCCAGTCCTTAGGAGGATGGTCAGGGGGAAAGGGAGGCTGTCTTCACATTTCCTGACCCATCTAATAGAGGACTTAAAAGGACACCGTTGAGGTATTAAAAATTTTTTAATCCAATTTAACTCAATTTCAAAAATTAGATCTTAAAATTGGAATCTGTTTTCAGTTTAATTTAGAAACATTTGCTGAGCACCTTTGTGCAAGGCACTGTGCTCTAGGTAACATGGCAGATACCAAGATAAGATATGGTCTCTTCCTCAAAGAGCTTATGATCTAGTGAGCTCCCTTTCTGTAGATAGGATTGCATATGAACTAATGACATTGGATGTGCTTTTTCCTACTCATAGAAACATTGAAGATGTTTTTGAGTTGGAAGCATACATAGGTTAAATTTTTGACCAGTTAGCCTTGACGGTGTTTCTTTAAGTTGGCAGGTGTTTTTTTTAACCACCATCCAATGGAAATAAATTTTCCTGCATATAGTTTTATGAATAGTAAATTTATGATTTGTACTTTGTAAAGTATCACATTATAGAAATGTATTGCTTAAAATTTATCAAGTGAATTATTTCATATTGTATTGGTGGTACTAATACATTTAAAGGTAACTGTGTATAAACTTGTTTTAGTGGGTATGTTTAGGTGATATTTCATAATCTCTTCTTGATTAGAGAAATAGTTTAAGTAATATTTAAGATAATGACTCCTTGAACAACACTTCAGCACTTCAGTGACAGGGATTCTAATATAAGTGATGACTACATGACCAACTGGTTTGTGCCCTGTAATTTTATGAATCAGTCCTTTAATAAAGGTATTCTGCCACTCTCCTTTTAAATACATCCTTGCATTAATTATTGACTCTTTATTATTGTGAATCAGTCATTATATGCCTTAGGAACATGTGTATTGTGCATTACTAGATGTCAGTGTTTTGACTATTGTGGCTCTAAAATTAGGAAAGAAAATTTCAACTCTGAAATTTCAAGTAACTTCTCTAGATAAAAATTTTCAGTGTGGTTTGAGGAGTAACATTGAAATAGGCATGACAGTAGTCAGCATTTTTGTACTTGCAAATTTTTCTTGTTAATATAGAGAATTTTTCTTTTTAAAAATTCACTTAGTTTTGCAGACATGTTTAAATCTTCAAATATCTGCTTTGCTAGAGTGAATTACAGTTTATGCCGACAGTAAAAATAGAAATGTTGATTCCATTTATTTTATATAATTTATGGACTGGTAAAAATAATTTTAAGAATTATTTCCTGACAAATTTTTTTAAACACTTTTTTTTTGAGGCAGATTTACAAATCATCTAAATCAAGTGATCACAAAAATATGAAAAGTACACAGTCCAACAGCTGAAAATTTGGCTATACAAAGGAGCCTTCCTAAATTAAAAAACATTTACCCAAGTTAATTTTCTAGATTTCTTGGTAGTCAAAACTTAACCAGAGAAAGAATGACTTTTCTTTGAGAGTCTTGCTTTATGTATTTAGGATTAGCTGATGCTTTGTAATCACTTCAACAAGGTTCACATAGTACTGGGAATATTTAACAGGATAGACATTAAGTTTGCAGTGTTAGTTGAAGTTAATTACTACTTTTCTCTTTGACTGTACTAAAATAATTTGGATGCTTAGAAGGTTAAGGGCTAGGGGGTTGGATTGGATTGGATATGTTTTGTTTTTAATCCCAGACGGTTTCATATTTGTGTTTAACCTGTTCATTGCTGTTCAGTACCACCTTAAAAAGTTACTATGCCATTTCAGTCTTTATTTCCAATAGACATAAAGGCCCTGATAACTAATTACTACTAGTATGAATTGATCTTAACCAGACCAAAACAAAATCTGAATAGATACATAAAAATTTTTCTAAAATTATAAAATCTTTTTTAAAAGAAAACAAGTAAAATTTAGGCTATTAATTTTTTCCAAATATATGTTTATAATATACTAATGTTTTAAATTTACTCAGCATGCAATTAAGGGCTTTTTTCCTTAGCTAAAAGGAAAGACATCTACATAACTTTAAAAACATGTAAAATTATTACAAGAAACTTTATTGTCGTTTTTTTCTGATCGTGTATTTTTAAGAATTCTCAGTTCATTTTTTGGGTTTTTCGGTTTTATTTTTAGGAAACAGTTCCCATGTTATACACAACAGATACTTACAGAGCACTGTAATGAAGTGTGGTTCTGTAAGTTCTCTAACGATGGCACTAAACTAGCAACAGGATCAAAGGATACAACTGTTATTATATGGCAAGTTGATCCGGTAAGTATTCTCATGTGAATAGTTATAAGTTATGCTCCCACAGCACTGTTTTATATTATGACTACATGTTTTACTTGGGTAAGGCATTGCCTCTTTTCACCACCTTTTTTGTTTGTTAATATTTTTAGATTAAAGTTCAGTTGCTTCTACCATCTCAATCCAGTGTCCTGTCCTTGTATATGACAAGCTGGTAGAAAGTCCTGTATGTCATCAACTTTCTGCTTCCCACTCATTGCCTTTGTGGAATGTGTGGTGCCAATTATATGTCATGAAATGGCTGGGCAAAACCATTTCATTTTAAATTTGAGTTATCTTTGCCTTCTATAGATTCAAATATTTTTTCTTCTTATCACCAGTGAACTTTCTTGGAGATTTGTCCTCAGATGTGCAATTTTATAATTTTAAACTTTGGTTAGCAGTATTTAATACTCAGGGCTTTTATTTTAGGAAATAAAAAATTGGCTTTTCTACTTTTAATGAAGGAAATGCAGACAATTAACATTTATAGTAGAACTAGTACCTATAGAAGTATATAGATAAAGAAACAATTTGGGGGAAGGGAGTATATAAGTAATTGATTTTCTCTTCAAGTGGGCAGCAGGATACCTGGTTATGTGAGATATTTTGAGAGAGAGAAATAAGACAAACATCTATAGAGACTTTTAATTTAGGAATTATCAACCTATAGTCATGGTGGATGAATTCAATGAGTGGATGTAGGAGAGAATAGTGAGCCTAGGGTAGAGAATTTGAGGACATTGGCATTGAAAGGATGGAGAATAAAGGAGCCAATGAAAAGACTTGAAAAAAGAAACCAGTGAAAAGATTCCAAAGAGAGAATCAGGATCTGATACTCAAAAAAACCAAGGAAGTATCTAGGAAAAGGGAGTTTCTAGGGTAGAATGATCAGGAAACTTAAAAAATAATAGGGACAGGGGAAAAAAAAACTCTTGGATCTGGCAAAAGGTATTTCATTAACTTTATAGAGGTGAAGTGAGAACAGAAATGAAGTCAAGAATGACTAAGTCAGGAATAACTAAATAAAGCCAATCTTGATTAAGAGGTCAAGCATAAAATTTGGTAAAACACGTTATAGTATAGATTTATAGAGCAGCTTAGAAAGGTATCAATAGCATATTTGATTTTTAGCTATAATTAGAAGAAAGAAATAGGGCAGTAGTTGTTAAAGTATGTGGGAAACCCAGATGACTTTTTGAGAACTGAAGCAGAATATGTGTGATTGAATAGAGGGAGCTGGGATCTTTTGGCAATGGTGAAAAGTTAGAAAAATAGATGAATATGCATATGGAAGGGCTTATGAGTAGTATGCAAGAAGAAGGGGCCTTTAAAGCAGGTGAGAGGAACAAATTAGTATGGGGGGGGGTCTATACCAAATGCCTAGGGAGCAGATAGGAAATGTGAGTAAGAGGATTGTTGTTATTTTTCCTTTGAATCAGTACAAGGGGAGTATTGATTGCATGGAGAAATAGAAAGTGAATGAAATTGCTGGAGAGGAGAATATAGTTTCAGAGGGAAACTTATATCTGGAACTAGTGGATGTTCATCCCAATCTGAATGGTGTAGTGTTAGAATAGATTATGATATGTATCATATCTGCTTAGCAGTGTGCTTTAAGGCGAAGGTGTCAGACATGTGGCCTACCACACTCCTAAGTGTGGTTTGGTCAGATAAAAATGTAATTGGGAAATATTTAACAAAGTAAATAAATGATACAATAAAACATAGATAATATTAATAGTTGTGTTTTCTAAACCGGGGATCCTTATGTACAATTGAGTTGCCCCCACTTCTGTTTGAATTGACACCTGCTATAAGAGACTGCTAGGATTTTGGTATTTTAATTAATTGATGATAAGAGGATTAGAAATTTTTTCCCATGTATTTCATGGAAATTTGTTATTTGATTTGATCTCTGATATTCATTCTATTCATGCATCTGTAATGAGTGAAAAGAAAGGAAGGGTAGAAAGGCCTAACTGTAGAAGTTCAGCATTACGGTTCTAATATTACTATTGCCTTTCCTTAATTTTCTCAGTGAAATCCTTAATTTCCTTAAAGCTTTTGCCCCGTTACCAGATCAGTCTTACCCCAAAAGACCTAGTACTAGTTAGACGCCTCCAAATGTAGTAAAAAGTTTTGTATCATAGCTCTGCCATTTGATCTCTCTGTGAACCTAGACAGTTACTGCTCAGAGCCTCAGTTTCCTCATCTTTTAAATGGGGATAATATTTGAACAACCTACTTCGCAGAGTTATTGTAGGAAAAGGTACTACATAATCAAGAACTGTTATTATGAAGAGGTCCTGGGATTATAATGTGGGCTTAATACCTAATGCCATATCAGTGCTTTTCTTCAAAATTGTCTTTTATAGCATTATATTGTAACTTGCCAGTTTGAAAGAGATATCAGGGTCCTGCACTAAGCATTTTTAATGGAGTTTATACAGGGATAATCTTAAATGTGGGATTTTGTGTACATATCTATAATGTAGTAATGAAATGGTAGTGCTACTGAAAGATCTCAAGAATTAGCTGTGGAATGAGGCATGTTATCAGACAAGGCCAATGTGTTGCTTAACTATACTTGTTACACAAGAGCATTCTATTGGAGGTGGAGAAGGTATTGGAAAATGAAGTGTTGTTTTTGCTTTTGTTTTTTAAAAATCAGTAAAACAATTGGAGAGACTTTCCTTGTGCTTATTGAACTATACGGATTACCTTGCTTTGTTGAGAATGCTTTACTAATCTAATGAAGTGTAACAGGTCCCTTAGAGAAAGGGAAAAAGTGTAAGAGAAGTGATTGCTTTCTTAATCATTTGTTCTGTTAGTATTTAGTCTTAGAAATAGTAGAGGATATTTGGCTCGTTCAGTCAATCAGTGAAAAGATTTTACAAGACTTAGAGAAGAACAAAAGATAGTGAACACAAATCACTTATCCTCGGACTTGAAGTTACCTTTCTCATTCAGATTCAAGAAAATAACTTCTACAGAACGTGTTTGAAAGATTTGTCTTTTTCCATGAATATGAGTTTTGGAAAAAATACTGTCTTTGTGAGGGCTACAGTTGTTGTTGTTTGTTGTTCAGTCATTTCAGTCTTGTTCGACTCTTTGTGACCCCATTTGGGGTTGTCTTGGCAAAGATACTGGAGTGGTTTGCCATTTCCTTCTCCAGCTCATTTTACAGATGAGGGATCTGTCCAGGGTCACACGGCTAGAAGGATTCTGAGGCTGGATTTGAACTCTGATCTTTCTGACTCCAGGCCCAGGGCTCTATCCACTGTGCTACCTAGGTGCCTTCAGGCCATAAACATTTGGGTTAAATTTGCTTTAAATGTAAATATTTGAAAGTGTTCAGTTTATCAAATTGCTGCTTTTCTTCATTATTCTATGGATTTTTTTTCAGAAGCTCTGAAAATATTAGCAGTAGTATGCAACCTAACTAAACTTCTTGCACTGCTGTTGAATTCTCCCAGCTGAACCAGAAATAGAGGCAGATAATAAATGTCTAGGTTTATAAGTGTCTGAGGATCTCTTGGAAAGGAAAAAGAGTTCTCAAATTGTTTCCGCTGTTTTAAACATGGCAGATGAAGTTCTGGGATAACTAGAAGGGGGTTGAAATGCCACTATTTAACAATATTTGCTCATAAGCTCCTTGAGCCTGTATTTAATAGGTCTAAAATTTAGCCTACATTTGTGAAATTTGGAGGTTTGGTTTTTGGGGGTTTTTTTCTTCCCATTAGATAGCTTAAATATGTATCTTTATACTGCCTTTAGGCTCAGGCTATGGAAATAGTATATCATATTTCTGTTCATACTATTGAATAGTCAAGCACTATTCTTAAAACTGTTAGTATCCGTCATTGATGGTAGTGTGGAGATGTGGTCTTTTATTGATTGATGATACTGGTCTATTGAAAATGCTAATTTATAGGTTCTTGCAATACAAAAACTTTTGCCAGATTTTTTTTTTTGGTTTGGTTTGCTTTTTGGTGACCCAGTTGGGGTTAAGTGACGTGCCCAGGGTCACACAGCTAGTAAGTGTCAAGTGTCTGAGGCCGGATTTGAACAGGTCCTCCTAACTGCAAGGCCAGAGCTCTGTCCACGCACCACCTAGCTGTTCCTGGTATAAATTTTTTTAAAAAGCAGAATGAAATGGTGAGAACAGCAAGTCATGTTTTCTAACAAAATCAGTCCATTTATGTTCAGTTAAATGGCTTTGGGCCATTATTGAATGCAAACATATCATTGCTTAATTAAGGCTACTGAATGTTAATAGTCTTTCTTTCATAGTACAAGTAGAATTGTGAATAATTTAAAATTTTAGCGTGGTGCTTGACTTAATTTTTGGCTGACCAATTTCTAAACTTAATATTCTGAAACAGTATATTTAAAATATTTATTTCATGATATTGTTTGGAGGATCAAGTAAAATTGTTGTAAAGCACTTTATAAATATCATAACTAATTTTTTTATGTGTATGTTAGTCATACAAATAAACATGTATCTGCTACTAGAGGAAGTAAATGAGCTTTAAGAAAATTGAATACTGAGGTTTAAAATGTTAATCTCCTTGTCTTTCCATTCTTTTTTGATACCATTTCATAATTTTTTTAAGTGAGTAGTTAGATGTATTTTCTGTTCATGAGATAACCAGTGTGATTCTATATCTTATAATACTGAGAGGAACTGGAAGGTTGGCATTAATGAATGTGGATGAGGCAAATATATGTGGAGTGAAGGGAAGAAAATCTGAGTCTAATGATTTTTTTTCAAGCTGCCATAGAAGACTAATGTTCTTTAAAGATTTTGTCTTAAACACAGAACTAACTCTAGCTATATTGCATTATATAAAGCAAAATGTTTGGGGTTTTTAGGATATTGAGCCTGAGGGCTCTATGAGATGTCCTAAAAGTGGCCTTCCCAGCATTCAAAATCCACTTAAGTGGTTAGGTGTAAAGTACAGATATAAAATACTAGCTCTGAGTTAAAGCCTAATGAGATTTTGAATGTGACATACCCTGGAGTTGTCGTTTTAATTTTGACCTTAAATGAGTATTCTCAAAGTTGAGGAGTGTCGTCTATTGTAGTGGTCTCTAAACTTTTATAATCATGCCTGGAATTCTTTCCTCATCTCCACCTCCTACTTTCCCTGCCTTCCTTCAAGTCTCAGCTAAAGTCCTACCTTCTGCAAGAATCTTTCCCAGTCTCACTTGGTGCTAGTGCTTCTCTCCTTTTGATTATCTCCACTTTATCCTGGTGTTTGTACATCATTGTTTGCATGTTGTCTCCCCCATTATACTGTAGGCTCCTTAAGAGCAGCAGGAGCTGTCTTTTGCCTTTCTTTATGTCCCTAGCACTTAGCACAATGCCAGGTAGTCAAAGATAAATTTGGGGGCATTCATCTCTTCCCAAGTATGTGTATATTTACTTATTTTTAATTGCATATATATTTCCATACTAATTATTACATGAATTTTTAACTTACACCAAAATTTAAATGATAAAAGGGTGAGAGAATGATGAAATTATATGAGCTTAGAGTTTCTAGGGAGCCACTAGAATTTGAGTAGGGGAACGACAGGTCACATGTGCTTTAGGAAAATCTCTGCCAGATTGATTGGAGAAGTAAAAGACCTGAAGTAGGAAACCCGGTTAGGAAGCTACTAGAGTATTTGAAAAGAGAGGGTGAAGTTCTAAACCATGATGGTTTTGTGAGTAGAGAACAGCAGATTGATGTAAGAAATATGAAGGGAGAAATGACAAGATTTGGCAGTTGATCTATATGTATGAGGTGAGGTAGAAGGAAGAATCAAAAAAATGACACTAAGATTGCAAAATTGGGTGGATGGTTTTATTCTTAACAGTAAAGGAGAAGTATGGAAAGAGAGTGGATTTGGAGTGGAAAATAGTGTAAAGAAATTTCTGATGCAGATCGCAATTCATCTATACTTGCTTATTCCATGAGACTCACTCTGTCCCACCTAGACAATGGGGTCATGGCTCACTGCCTTCAGAGCACAGAGTCAGAGGGTAAGGGAGGACTTTTCCCAAGAGTATATGCATAGCTATTACTGTGGATGTCCAGTAGTTAAGTTATGACTGCACTGAAGGGCCAACCCTAGCTCAGAGGTAGGAGAAGTTGGCATGGATAAAGGAAAGGTTGAAAAGAGCAGTATTAGAGGATGAGGGTAGATTTGGATCTGTTAGAGACAAGGCATAACAAGGAGAATAGAATGGGACCCATCACACACTCTTGGAGATACCTGATGAAATGCCCAGCCCATCTCCTTACCTAGAGGCAATAGATTCACTGTGTAAATTGAGACTTTTTTTAGACATGATCATTGTAGGAATTAATCTTTTTTTTTTTTTTTGATGAGGCAGTGGGGTTAAGTAACTTGCCCAGGGTCATACAACTAGTGAGTGTTGTTTCTGAGGCCAGATTTGAACTCAGGTACTCCTGACTCCAAGGCCGGAACTCTATCTACTGTGCCACCTAGCTGCCCCCAGGAATTAATATTTTTTGACTATGCATTATTTGTTACGAGAATTTTTTCTTTTCTTTTTCAGTGATAGGGGTAAATAGGAAGAAGAGAAAATAGGTTTTTATTCATTAAAGTAAATGTGACAGAAAATAAAAAGAAGCATTGTGTTTAAGCTGTAGCTTGAAAAGAAAAGCCAAGCAGATTTGTCCCAAAGAGTACTAATCAAGTATTTTAGCAGCAGTTTAATAAAGTGACAAACCAGAAGAAAAATCATATCGGTTCAAAATATTTGTCAGTTTATTTTTTCTTTCTTTCTCAGGATACGCACCAGCTAAAATTGCTTAAAACATTAGAAGGGCATGCTTATGGTGTTTCTTATATTGCTTGGAGTCCAGATGACAACTATCTTGTAGCTTGTGGCCCAGATGACTGCTCTGAGCTCTGGCTCTGGAATGTACAAGTAAGCAACGACTCTGTTCTTTGTATTCATTGCAGATGTACTCAATTTGATGACTAAAGTCAGGGTGAATTTATTGTGATAAACTTAATCCATTTATTTAAAAAAAACTTTTTAAAAAATTTATTTTTAGCATTCATTTAAAAAAATTTTTTATTTCCAGATTTTTTCTCCCTCCTACCCTTCACCCACCCATTGAGGAGACAAGCAAGCAATATGATCTCAATTATACGTGTGAAGTAGTCAAGCAAAACATTTTCTTATATTAGCCATGTTGCTTTAAAAAAAAAAAACACCAAGAAGCATAAAGTGAAAAAAGTATACTTCAATCTGCTCGCATTTCATCAGATTTTGCATTTTTTATCCTGAGTCCTTTGGAATTGTTAGGGATCATTGTATCAGTCAGAGCAGCTAAGTAAAAAGAAACTTTCAAATAGCTCTTCTTTTAATTTTCTGTTATGGATTTACAAGTCTACATTATGGTGCTGTGAAAGCAGATGAAAACATGTCTAGTAAACATTTTTCAGGCTTTTTTTAGCTTATGCTTTGTAATAAAAGGATGGATTTCATAACAGTCTAAGGATACTGGAATTACCTTTGTCATTGTGGTTATGTGTAGTAAATTTGGCATTAATCTTAGTTTTCTACTTAATACTCTAACTTTTCTGGCTACCTTTTAAAGTATATTCAGATTTAACTTGGTAGTACCAGTTACTATTTTGCCCAGATGCTGTGCACAGCTTCACAAGAGTTGAAGTTCTGGAATTTACTTTTCACCCTAAATAAGACATTTACTTTATTTTGTTTTGTCCTTAGAAGTAAGCCTCAGTCATTTAGAACCACTTCATTTCTTTATCAAGCTCCAGAAAAGGTTATTGTTAGCCGGCTTGTGAGGCAAAGCTATTTTTTTAACTCTAAAGGAAGCATAAGAATAATTCAGATTGACTCTGAGGTTGAGATAAAACCTAGATGGAAAGGCTTGAGTCTGCCATATTTATAAATATTTTCATTGTTGCTTCATTGAACAGCTATTGGAAAGGAGGATTTAAAGAACTTAGCAAAATGAAGACCGTAAAAGCAAGAAAACTAGAAAGTAGCTGAGGCTGAAATGCCATAATTGCAATTCTGATTCTAATATTTATGCTCCATTAAGACTTCCAACGTGACACAGAAAGGGCAGTGTGTATACCTTAATACTGAAATTGTGGTTTTTTGTTTTCTAACTTAAAAATCTCAAGCTTTCATTTGGACCAGTTTCCATTCAGTCAAGTGTGTTTTGACATCCCACCTTCTTTTACTGTGTATCACTTTAATTTGCTTCAGAAACTCCTTCAAAAGAAAATGGTTTTTAATCAGCTTATCTAGAAAATATCTTATTCTTCAAACCATTCCTGGATGTGATTTATTGATGTATGTCCTTTATAAAGCAAGGGAGAGGAGGAGAATACAAACCTTATCCACCTTTATGGTGGGTCACCATTCTACGTTCAGATATTTTGTGTTAATTTTTAAGTATTGAAGGGGTAGTGGCCTTGGGCTGTTCTTATGCTGTTATTCTGAAAAAACAGCACACCTATCTCATTGTATACACATAGCTACCTAGTAGATTATCAGATGATAATTTCATTTTGGGAGGGGAGATTATCACATGAAATCTATTTCTTGGGTCTACTGTGTCTTAAAATAAGAATTTATACCACACACTGATGTTTAAGTCTTTAGTTCACTTCAAATGACATAACTTCCCTTTCTGTAAGTAATCTGTATTTATTATTACTATTAAAATGATATATTTCTCTAAGTATGTAGCACTGTTCTCATAGACCTCCATAGTTAGCATTAATTCACACTTTTTTTTTAAAACACATTTTCCCTGGTAAGGAAGGATAGGTCTTATCCATTTTTCTTCTTTTTTATAGACAGGGGAGCTGAGGACAAAGATGAGCCAGTCTCATGAAGACAGTTTAACAAGTGTGGCTTGGAATCCAGATGGGAAACGCTTTGTAACTGGAGGGCAGCGTGGACAGTTCTACCAGTGTGTAAGTGCTACAGTGTTCCTTCAAGAATCACATTTCTGTGAATGAAGTTCTTAATTTGTTCACTCAGAAAAAATAGAATCTACTTTATTACCAGCTATTGATTTAACTTAAGACTCAGTGTCCCATTTTACTAGGCCAGAATAGTTACCAGAATAAAAGAACTTTTTAAAAAACACTTTAATATGGTCACAAAAATAAAGTGACTAAAAATAGACCAGGTCAGTATTTCACTGTTTTCTTGTCCATACCAAGCCGCCTTCTTTTGAGTTTAGTAAGGTATTTGATAAAATATGGGAAATACATTTTATTCTTTATGGTTACTAGATTTATTGCTAAATTGTGTTGGAGTTAAAGGATTGTATTTCATTTTAAGCCTACCAAATTTGGTCTGATTTAATGTGAATTCTTCCTTAGATAAAATTTTAGCAGTGAAGTGATTCAAATTTTAAGTAAAAGTAGGATCATTTTTACAAAAAGTTTTTAGAATCTTAGTCTGAAGTACTTAGAAAATAAAACTGGATAACATTAAAAATGCTATGGAAAAAGGACTCTAAAAGTACCTGGCATAACAATTGTGAGTAAATTTGTGTTCTTTGTACTTCGTTGTTTTTGGCATGTTCAAGGTACACAATAAACACTTTGTATTGGTTGAGTATTAAGAAACTTAAAAGGTTTCACTACAATATAGGTCAATTAAATTGGGGCTTATCTTTAGTTGAAGAACACCTTTCAAAAATATTTTCTGTGGATGCATGACAAGTGTTTATCTTGGAAATTTATATCTCTTAACTTCACACATTTAGTGAACTGTTTATGAAACTAGTACAGAGTTGTTCTTGGCCTCACTAGTAAGTGAAAGTTTGTTAAAGGGTAAACCTTAAACTCTGAGGGAGAACTATGTATCCTTTTGCTAATATTTCTGCATCTATAGTCTCTTTGCAAGGAAACTCAAATGCCCATAATGGGTTCGTGAACCTACTTAGAACAGATTCTGTTTAATGCCATAATTCCTGATAAATTTTTGGTGAAACACGTTTCCAAAAATCCCATTTTGGTCAACTTCAGAAAACCAATGTCCAGGTGTCAAAATAGTTTCTCTTTATTTGTAATTCTTTCAGTACATAACCCCTTGCCTAAAGCTTGGAGAACTTCATGACTGAAATTTTTGTCTTGGTTACATTTATTTTCATAGAACTGTTTAGATTCCTATGATTGAGTAGGAATACTTGGAAACAACTAGGTTGAGATTAACATCCAGGTGTGGAAAATATTTTTAAAAGATATTACTAAGAAAAACATTTGCTTTTGTTTTGGAAAATTATTATGGTTTTCTCTGACCACTCTTGTCAATTATAATTCTCTCCTGATTAGGATTTAGATGGTAATCTCCTTGACTCCTGGGAAGGGGTAAGAGTGCAATGCCTTTGGTGCTTAAGTGATGGGAAGACTGTTTTGGCATCAGACACACACCAGCGAATTCGGGGCTACAACTTTGAGGACCTTACAGATAGGAACATGTAACTATTGTTTTGTGTTTTTGTTTTGTTTTTTATTAAATAACAGATGTTAAGCATTTTAAAAAATGCATTGGAACAAATGGTTAAATGGCATCTAATCACCTTTGATTCGGATTCATTTTTTGTAGTCAAGTATAAAGATCATGTTAATTACAGACAAAATTGTGTCATTTTTACCAAAAACCTGGGGGGTTTCCCCTTTTTGGAAATTTTAAATATATTCTAATCTTTTCCACACTGACTAGCATTTTTTTTGTGTTCTTATAACAGAGTACAAGAAGATCACCCTATTATGTCTTTTACTATTTCAAAAAATGGCCGATTAGCTTTGTTAAATGTAGCAACTCAGGTAAGTTCACAGTAATTTTCCAAGATGTTTTCTTCAAATGGAGTACTAATTGTGATTTTATTATTTATATGCAAGTGAACAGAAATAGTTCTACCCAATATTAAATTGCTGTATCTGTGACACTTAAAATAACATTGAATTTTATCAAAAGATAACCACTTCACTTGTTCATAACAAATAGAAAATAAAAATGACTAAGGGGAAAAAAGAATGTTGTTACTTTAAGGTAAAATAAACTGTGATTTGTTTTGCTTATAGGGAGTGCATTTATGGGACTTACAAGACAGAGTTTTAGTGAGAAAGTATCAAGGTGTTACGCAAGGATTTTACACAATTCACTCATGTTTTGGAGGCCATAATGAAGACTTCATCGCTAGTGGCAGTGAAGGTAATAGTAGTTGAATGTGTGATTGTAATTAAATGCCGTTTTTAATGTACTTAGACAGATTGAAGATCCATAATTATTCAGAATATGTGGAGATGAAAGAAAATGTAGTAGAAGGGTTGAAGAGCCATCCTCAGAGCCAGGGAGGACCTGGCTTCAGGACTGGCTTCTGATATATCCAGGCTGGCTTTCTAACCCTGGGGACATCACTTAGCCTCTCAGTGCTCTGAGCAATGGCTCTAAGACTGACTCTTAAGTCAGAAAATATCCTGACCTACATTGGTAAGAGGGAGCTTCCTCTTCGGATGTTCCTTTTACCCGTGAAATCACAGGTCTGGTTCCTATCCTTTTTTTTTTTTAAATGTATAAGGGGGTTTGATTCACTAAGTAGTAGTTGTCACTCAAAGACTTAAGGCCCTCCTGATGCTAAATTCCTAGCATATCATCTTGGCTGTGTGTGTTAGGTAGGAGGAGGGGAAGGTAGGGTTCTTGGGTACATGCATCAGATTGATTAAATCATTGTTTTTTCATGGTTTTAAGAGTCAGGGCATTTCAATAGATTGAAGGTTCTTAGAAGTAGGTTGAGGTCTAAAAATTCATTATTATGATTTACTTGGATGGGCTTAACTGAACACAGCTGTGATTTTCAAAAGTCATTTGTTGAAGGTCCTATCAGTCATGGCAGCACATGTCTTTTTTGTTTTTAAGTCAGTAATAATCTAGATAATATAATTTTTCTTAGCATTTTAGGCAAGCTGATTATAATTATGCCTGCACTCTTTTGATTAGGTTTTCTCCTTTGCCAATTGGGAATGTTTGGGTCACTTTGTGTTCAGTGTTTCAGCTATGGTATCAGAGTATCAGAATGCTGATACACATCGATCAAGCATTTGTTGAGTACCAGACATTAATAATTAATGTCAATGCTAGGTGTTATGCTAAATGCTTGTGATACAAAACAAAAATGGCCTCAAGTAGTTTACTTTTTATCAGGGGAAGAAGCAACATGTAGCTGTATTGGTAACTGTATGGATAGAAGTTAATTTCAGGGGGGAGGCATTAGAAACTGGAAGGATCAGGAGACGATTTTTGAAAGAGATGGCACTTAAACTCAGATTTGAAAGAAACTAGGGATTCTGATAGTTGGAGACAAGGAGGTAGTGTTCTCCAGGCATAGAGAACCTGTCCAGAAGCCCAGAGCTGGGAGAGTGAGGTGTTGTATCTGGGGAACAACAAATAGGCCATTTGAATTGAAAGGTAGAGGGAATGAAGGAGAAATGTGTCATGGACGGGTAGGCTAGAGCCAAGTTGTGAAAAACTATAAAAATGCCAAAGGTGTTAGTATTTGATCCTGCAAATAATAGGGAGCCACTGGAGATTCCTGAGTAGGAAACTGACGTTGTCATATCTATACCTCAGTTATGTCACTTTAATGTCGGTGTGAAGGATGGATGGGAAAGGGCAGAGACCAGAGGAAAAGGACCCAGTTGGGAGGGTGACATCTAGGTCCAGCAAACTCTGCCAGCTACTTGGCTTTGAATGGCCTACAAGCTACAAATGGTTTTCACACCTTTAAATAGGATTTATTATATTTTTTAATGCTCTTTTGTCCTTCAGGCTGTAGTTTGTCCTCCCTGGTCTAGTCAGCACTTCTTAAAGGTTTCTGACTGTGCAACAACCAAAAATTAATTAAAAATCAAATGCAAAAATGAATCTGAGGTGTTCTGGCAGCACTTTCCCTGTTGCATCAAGCAACTTCACTTGGTTGTGAACACACAGCATGCACACTTTGCACTGCGCATGCCCTCAGGCCATGCAGCATCCAGTTAAGGCTGCTGAAATAGGAAAAGGGGAGTGGAAAAGTTTTAAGAAGCCTTAGTCTAGTTGAGAAGTAAGGAGGGCCTGGCCTAGAGAAGAGCAGCATAAAAGAGGCTGTGGTGGCAGAAGGAGGAGAAGAGTCAGGGTTGAATCTCCAAGGTTACTATCCAAGGCAACAGTGAATGATGGGGTCTTCACTAGTCTGAAAGGAGGGCCAGGTTTAGGGGAAGATAATGTGTTTGAGATGCTGGTGAAACTCCCCTCCTGCACTTAATAGTCACCTCACATTCCTGGACCTGAGTTTCATTTGTAAAATGGGCATAATACCTTGAATACTTATCTAATGATCAAAAGTAAAGGTATATAAACTACATCAGCCATTCTTAGGTGTTGTGCTAAACTATTATTTTATAATCGTATATTATTACTGTATTTTATATAGCAAAAATAGTTATAATGACAAAATCTGGGGATCTACATAGATCTTAGAGTCACTATGAATTAAAATGTAAAATAGATTTAATAAATTCCCAAGCTGATAGAAATATAAAACATAAAAACTACAAAAGATAAATTATGATAACCAACAAAGTCTTATATAAATTAAATTTCAAAAATTTTTTTTAAAAAAGCCACAAGTATTTTCCCCTTGTTTCTTGCTCAGTTGTTACCAGCTCAAGCATTCAAACATTAATTATTGTAGCTGTGTAGCTGATTTAAATTTGTAACCCCCAGGTTAGTAGGATGCTTCTGGAAACTAAATTGTTTATAGAAAAATTTGGGGTGAATTATATTTACTGAACAACTTTTACAGCAACCTTCTTGCCCTAATTTAAAAAAAACAACAACCTTGTAGAACAAAATGGGTTAGGGTATCACAAATACTATCACATTTTATTTTAGAGCCAGAAAGAAACTTAGAGATTACATGAGCCAACCCATTCATTTTATTCATAAAACGGACCCAGAGAGATGAAACGGCTTGCCCAAGGTCACACAGCTAATCTCACATTGGTAGATTTGGGGCTAGAGTTCACATCATACTTGTTCCCTTATTATCCTGGCTTCATTAAAATGTTTTTCATTAAGGTGTATGCATGGGACAGAAATGAAATTGGAAATGATAGCTTTAGATTTTCGCATAAGGTGAAGTTTGATCATTCATTTCTTCAACAAATATTTAAGGGTTACTATATGCTAGAAACTATCCCCTACCTAATAGAATTTATCTAGTAGAAAAGACAAAACATACACAAATAACTATAATGCAAATTTAAAATATGAAAGTACAGTGAGACTGGTACAGAAGGGAGAGAGACCTTCAAGTTAGAGGAATGAAGAAAGGCCTCATGGAAAAGATGTGTCTGCTCTGGACCTGAAAGAATATGTAACAGAAGTGGATTTGGGGAAAATATAAGTGTTTTCCAAGAAGAAAAGCTGGGCTGAGCAAAGGTAGCAGCAGCAGCAGCAGCAGTGAAAATGGAAGTGTTCAGGAAGTAGACAGTAGTCTTGTTTTGCTTGAGCATAGGGAAAGATAGGTTGGGGCCAAGTCTTGGGCTCAGGCAGCCAGTCAGAGAAGTTTAGACTTTATTTCATTTCATGAGTAATAGACAAGCCCTAGGGATTCTTGTGTTAAGCATTGGCAAGATTAGAGCACTGCTCTGAAAATTCATCTGACTTAACAAACTACATAAAAGAGAGCCTAAAGGCAGAGAGATTAGTAAGGAAGTTTTTGTAATAGTGTAACTGAGAAGGCCAGAACTAGGTTGGTAGAGTGGAAAGGGCAGATTGGATTCAACTTATTGAGTAGATATTGTAATAATAGGACTTGGCAACCTGTTGAATTGGGGACTGAAAGACGAATAAAAATTGATAGGTTTTAAGTCAGGGTCACTAGAAAACTAATGGAATCACTGTCAGAAATAAGAAAAGGAAGGAGGAAGAACAGATTTTGGAGGGAAGATAAATTTATTTGGGGGCGTGTTAAATTTGTTGGAATAAACAGGTGGAAGTGTCTTTTTTAAATAATATTTTATTTTTTCTAATTACATGTAAAGATAGTATTCAACATTCATTTTTATAAGATTTTGAATTCCAAATTTTTCTCCCCCCCCCCTTTTTCCCTCCCCACTCTCCAAGACAGCAGGCACTCTGATATTAGGTTGTACAAGTGCAATCATGGAAACATATTTCCACATTGGTCATGTTATGAAATAAGAAACAGAACAATAAGGAAAAGCCACAAAACAAACTGCAAGGTGAAAATAATATGCTTCAATTTATATTCAGACTCCATTAATCAGTTCTCTCTTTGGAGGCAGGATAACATTTTCTGTCGCGAGTCTTTTGGAATTGTCTTGGATCATTGTATTGCTGAGAAGAGCTAAGTCTATCGAAGTTGGTTCTCTTTGTTCTGTTCTGTTCTGTTCACTTCACTCGGCATCAATTCATGTCAGTCTTTCCAGGTTTTTCTGAAGTCCACGTGCTCATCATTTCTTATAGCACAGTAGAATTCCATTACATTCATATACCACAACTTGTTCAGCCATTCCCCAGTTGATGGGGATTTCCTCAATTTCCAGTTCTTAACCCAAGTGGAAATATCTGGCAAGTAGTTAAAAATCCTAGCTTGAGAGACATGTTGAAGTTAGAAATTTAGATTTAAGAGTCTTCTGAATAAAGCAGACAGTTGAAGCCAGGAGAGTGGACCACCATGAGAAACAAAAGAGACAATCCAGAAAAAGGAGGACTTGGAGAGAGCATGGTATTATGGGGCCTAAGGAAAAAGAGCTTTTCAAGAATAAAGGAAAGATGTGGTCAGTGCACTTCTACAAATTTTAAATGACATCTGTGTGCAAAGCCCTGTGCTAAACAGTGGAAATGTCCTCAAACAGGTTTAAAAGCTCAGTTACTAAGAAGTATCCACTAGGTTTGGCAATTAGGACCCAGTCATTAGGGACCTTTGAGAGTACAGTTTCAGTGAAGTAGAAAGGTAGATAGAATGAATCCAGATTGTAAGAGGTGGAGGAACAAATAAATTGATGGAGAGGAAATAGAGACAATATTTGAGAGAAGAGATAAGATAGATCGGGTAGCAGGGTTGATTTGGGGTACAGAAGTACAGCTGGGGAGACCTGAACATGTTTGTAGACAAAAGGGAATGAGACCAATAAAGAACAGGAAAT